GTTTTGGTACAAAATCAAAACAGGATTAGGCCTTGACACTGTCGGAAATCAGAACATCAAATTAGTATGCTCGTAGTAAGGGAAAAAAGTATCAGATTTCAAATAAATGAGTAGAAATTATGATTAAATAGAGATTTTTGGTATTTTATTATTGAAGGCCTCTGCAAACAGCATGTTTATTTAAAACATAAGATTAAAGCAGCTTGATTGTTTAAACATCATTATTTTTAATGCAGTAGTATAATTATTACAGTATAACAGTCTAAAAGAAAATATTACCTTGAATGGGATACAGCTGAGCTTTCTATACCTTTACTCTTCAACGTATCCAAATTTTGCTCTTGTTGCACTGGCTTAAGTATTGAGAAACATCATGGACTCCAGTGCAATTAACATTACATTTACATTGGTAAAAAAAACAACAAATGGTCTGCCAAGAACAGATTTTGGTCCCCTACCATCAGACCATGATGAATTATAAATTAACTACATGAAAGAACGAGTATTTATTTATTTATTTAATACATATAATAACTTTCATTTTACAAAAATCAACCCGTTTTATAATCAAACAGTTCTATGACTGGTTTTACTGCTTATCCATTCTGATTTTGATGGAAGAGGCTCAAAATGCCCTTAAGTCTCTGCTCCTGGCACCTCAGTAGGTCAGAAAGAACTTGTTAAAAGGAATGAGGAAAACAGAGTGCTCTCCTGCATTTGTTAAAACATGCCCTGAAAAATTTAAATATGGTAAATACCGGTAAAGATCACAAGACATTTCAACTTTCATGTAGGTGAGCAATTAAAATATCCACTTTTGTTCTTGTTCCAAAATATACTGCTGTTTTAATGCTTAATCTGTTTATATCTCATTAACAACTTGCGCCAGCAGGCTAAGCATTGTATTAACCAAAGCTGGATGAGAAAGTGTTGTGTTGTCTCAGGTTCCATAACTACCAGGTGCACTCCTACCATATATAATGATAGTTTGTATTTTATAGCACTTCTCATCTGAGGAATCTAAAGTGCTTTATAAGCATTAATTAATTAAACTTCTTACTGCCTCTGTGAGATAGCTAAATATGCTAATAATATCTATTTTATATGAATAAACTGATGCACAGAGAGGTTAAGTGCCTTGCCCATGATAACACAGCAAATCATTGGCAGAGTTGGCCATAGACTTCTCGGAAATTCTGACTCCCAGACTTGTGCATGAACCACTAGACAAATTTACAATCTGCTACCACAAACACTGCCTTCTATTTAAAAGCAAATCTTTGTTGACTACCCTTAGGAAATGGTGAAAGGAGAAAATATATTTTCTTAGCCTTATAAGTATCACATTCAAAACCCTAAGGAGTGCAAAATTCATCTGGTATTTTGCAAAATACTCACAGGTAATAAGAGCTTTGTTTTAGTTTTTGTTATCCACACCTTCCCCTACACACACACACCTCTGTCTTCTGTCATTTCTTAAATGCAGGTAAAATTGGTAATAAAGCAGTTCAAAAATAATAGAGAATTGAATAAAGCCATACATTGCTCTTGTTCAGAGATGTAACGATTTCACTCCTATTGAATTGTAACTATAATCACTTCTAATTTAAATTATATACTGAAAGTACAATTATGAATAAATCAATCGCATACACATTTAAAGGAAAGTTTAAATATAGGGTGAAAAAATGTTTACTATTAAATTGCTCTCTTTATGTTCAAGTGGCTCCCTATAATATTTAGAATCTCTCCACTAGGTAAAATATATTACAGTAACTGAATAAGTACATGAACATTTATTAAAGCATTGTTTTAAATTTAAAGCTATTCGTGCCTGATGCTTGATTATTAAATTCTGTTATAAATAAAATGGTTGTTACTAGAGGATGTGTTCTAAAGATGTTTACATCCCATTGTGGGCTGTGTCAGTGTTTGGCATGGTGGTAGTCACACATGGAACATGTGGAATTGATTTGACCCTAGTCTATTTCAAATAGACCTATAAACTGTTTATAATATTGGAAGTTTCTGAGTGCTTGGCTCTGATGAAACTCCCTTAGAAAAAGTCAGTATTACGCAATATGGACAACTTCATTTCTGTCTGAGGTTACCGTCTAAAATTATATTGCAATATATTAGACCTGAGGTGAGACTTTCTTCCTACTTTATTATGTATCTCCTCTATTGAAATACACTATAAGTGGGTGCCATAGTTTATGCACCTGTCTGTACATAACCTATAAATCAAATATGTATGCATGCCATAGTTGTCTGTTAGAATTAGAAAGTAAATGCTGAGATAAAAAATCATAGGCTAAAAGTGCTTTCAATTTACAACAATGAACAGCACTGAATGTTGTTTTTAATAAAAACAGGTATGAGAGCAAAATGGGGCCTGATTTGTGGTGATTTGGATGGGCTGTATATCTGTATTATAATAGCATAAAGTGGTCATTTGTATAATTTATATTTAAATACAACTGAGTATGTATATACATAAGACATTAAAATAGTTGACCACTAGTGGATCTTATGGGTAAATTGGCTTTCCAGCAACTGAGTTTTGTCATGTTCATAACTTTCCTTCTGGTCCTCGAGGTGAATTGTTCTAAGAAAAATTGGATACAGATAACTATATACACACTAACCTCAAAGGCTGCCCTAGTGCATAACACTCTACACCTTAGCTTGTGTGTTTAAGCAGGGCACTGTACGTCTGGCTGTAAAGGCAGCTGGTCCTGCCCTAAAATAGGATGCAGTATTTATCTCTCCATGTTACTTTCACAGATTGAGACTAGAGAAAGGAGGGAGGGCAAAGTGGAGGAATAAACCAGATCCCAGCAATACACTCCTCCCTCCATTCTCTTTCCCCTCCTCCTCCTCCTCCTCCATTCTCTTTCCCCTCCTCCTCCTCCTCCTCCGCCTCTCCCCTCTCCTTCCCACCGCCCTTCCCGTTCTCCCCAGCCTCTCTGAGCGTTCCACGGACTCCTATTGGTCCGCTCGGAAGGGTCCTGCCGCTCTGCCAGGAGAGCTGGAGGGATCAGCCGCTTGCCCCATTGGGCAGGCGGGAGGAGTACATCAGCGCCCCACGTTGGTGCCTGAGCAGGCGATTGGCCAGGGTCCTCCCCACCTCCCTTCGAGTGGGCGGGGCCGGGTGGCTGGTTAGCTAGAGGAGTGTGAAACCGCGTGTTAATGTAGCCAGCGCGGGCGGATACATTGTGTCCCGTGTACCGAGAGCCTGCTACTGCCTGGGCGCTGCGCTCCTCGGCCCGCACCCCGCGGAGTTTGCATCCTGCGCGCTATTAGCCATGGGGGCGCGGCTGTAAGTGGGGGGGGGGGGCTGGGGTTTTTTTTCCCCCCGC